CGTAAGTTACATTCTTTAAAACCAATTAAATGGGAATTATTCGATGCCAAAGAAATTACTCCATAATTTGAACTTCAGTGCATTAATACAATGACTTATTTTGTTTTGCTGTGATATTTTTTATTATTATTATGCCTCTCAAGGAAGTTTACCTCTCATGGCTCAGACATGAGGTGTAATTATATCTTTTTCAATATTATACGCAATGATTAGGACTACAATTTTGAGGCGCTGGGAGGAGTAATGCATACCGACATGTGTACGTCAGGGAGTAAGGGCTGAACGCGCTGAGCAACACTATGTACTTCCTTACATTTATATAAAACAAGGGTAACATCTCTTGCACAATATTTTGAAATAAAATTTGAACACGTTGAGAGCTGCGTTAATTTCTTGTAAGCAGCTATGTCAAAATCCTAGCTTAGAAAATGAAGGGGAAAATGCAATAAGTACTTAAATTAAAATGTTCGTCGGGCAATTACCCGAATACCCCATTTTGCTTTCAATTTCCCTCTGTGATCATCTCACTGCACAAAAAGCTGTCACATAGACCGGTTCATGATGGATACATAATCTATTTTTCTGCAAAAAATTGATACTTGGCTAAATGTCCGACTAACGAATATTCAGCAGAAGTTTAAGTTCTCCTTTCAATAACTTTATTTTACTTTAAGGGAGAACTTTAACATTGCCTGCTTACAGGAAATTCATTCAGCTTTTATGCTGAATAAATTTCATTTCAAGAAAGACTTCGATTCTTGCCTGTACAAGAGTTGTAACCCTTGTTATAGTATTATGATAGATTTAAAGGTTACTTGTAGATGTATATCATAAAGTGCGTGTAGCTCCTGTGCCTTACGGTGGCTACATCCCTGATTTATACACGTCTAGCTCCTTTTATATTATGTAGATTAACTAATGTAGTTTGCTGGTCACGACGACGTTTTATCAATTAATGATACTCAATTTCATTCCTTCGTTGATTCAATATATCCCTTTTAACTCAAAATAAAAGACACCGCAGAGTCTGACACATCATGTGTTTATATTATTTTACTAGAGAAAGACATTGATGGCGAACTAACACAAAAACTTTATGATAAACGTGATGACTTCAACTTTTCTATCGTCAACCTTCCTTATTCATGTAACAATTTACCATTATCACCTGCATGTGGACTTTATGTCTCCTAGTTGATTCGATACGCAAGAGCATGAACAATTTCTGAAACGATGCAAGCTATTGACAAATAAGTTAATGATAGAAAAATAGTAACAACAGATACAATGACCTTGTAAGCAAGTAAAATATCTCGTTAAGTCGAATGTTGACTGACTTTTTTCACTCAAATTATTAGGCCATTAATTTCACACTGAATTTTCTACAGATTTTTCCGTTTGCCCGATCATGACAAGGCACGGCGGGTGTGACCGTTCGACTCCTCCTCCATGGCACCTGATCCCACCTCTGGTGTTTTTGGAAGTCTTTGTTTGTTCTGCTCCCAGTTTGTGTTGTTCCAATGGACTCATGAGGTTGCTTACTGTTCGTTATCTTCAAAATTCTTTTAATGAATAAATTTCCTTTTAAATTTTCATGCAGTTGAATATGCTCTGATAAAACCAGTGTCATAAAAATGTGATGATCAAAACTTTTTTAGTCATATATTGGTGAATATGAGAGCCTACATTTTAAAATGTGTTTATACCATCTATATGCAATATGACAGTCTGTTATTAAATGCAAAGTAATTTTTGATCCATTTTTAGAAGAGACCTGATATTTGGACATATTTACAAGGAGTCTCTATTCTTTATACACAATAAAGGTTTAGGACATATTTAGATGTCAAAGATAAAAGTATCGTGACGTCCTCTACTGATTCTTTCTTTTTTTTTTTTTTTTTTTTTTTTTTTTTTTTTTTTTTGCATTGAATATTTTTTTTTAATCTCAAAAATATCTGAAACTGTCTCTTCAATAATCCTCATTCTGACAAATTTTAATCTGGGTTCCATTTCAATCATTCTGTTAATTTTTTTGTACATGTTGAATTATACATTTTCTCTTAAGAGAACTTAAAGTGTAACATACATGTGAATTTCTAGGCTATATATGTTTTATTTTTTTAATCATATTTTACTCAAATATACCAGTATCAATATAATTTACTGAAATTTAGTTACAGAAAGGTTGTATTTATAAAAAGCATTTCAAATTTGCAGGTGATGCAACAGTGATTTTTTAAAAAATGCATATTCTAAAGTGCAAAGTCTGATTTCAAAATCTTCTTACAGGGGCAGATAGGCCATTTCAAATAATTGTGCGGTTGAATTTTTTTTAAATCATATATAAAGAGATATTTTAGAACAAAATATCAAAGTTTCAAAAAAAGTTGAATTTGAGGAAAAATTTGGCGTATCTATTGTGTACTACCTTAAATGCTAAGTACTTTGATATTGCCCTTCAGTAAAGTAAATGTAGTTGAAATTATAGACACCGTCTTTATTTGTTTAAGTTTAAAAATCATAACACTATACATTTAAATTAAGGTAGTGCAAAATTCAGACAAGTTGATACGATTATTCAATGTCGCAGTGTAGGCAATAACTAATGTTTTTGGTAGGTATAGATACTTTTACACATTAATTATTTTTACATCGAATTCCGTCTTGAAAAGCCTTTCACATCTTTTGTTTGACATATAGGTCATCAGCTACTTTTAAACCACAAAATTCAAATAGAGAACACGAGTCTTAAAGCAGAAACTCGGAAAACGAAAAAAGCCATTTTTCCAATTACATCCCAGGTCAGAGTTACATTTATGTATACGTAACCGCTACACATCCCTACAATGACTTTTCCTTTAGCCAGCGTCATATGCATGTACACAAATTAAAGTCTTATTTTTTCCAAAACTTGTAAACTATCAATGATATATAACCTGTATTGCCGCGAATTGTAACAAACTGCATTGTGCTTCGACTACATGGTGAATGAATTATAAACATGTGTGATATTCCTCGCAGGCAGATTTGTTTAATGTCATTGTTTATTATTTGGCTACTGCTATCGAAGCAGAATTTTTGAAAAACAATATTCTTCACTGCATGATTGAACATACTTTGTAGGTCATGGTAATCAGATGGTGTATTTTGAGAAAAAATGCAGAAAGTGTTGACGTTGGTACCTTTGGAGAAACAAGATATATACTGGTGTCTCACCTCATCGCGGTACATAAAAGTTTAAGGTACATGTAGAATGGGATACCTCTACGTTATGACGTATTTCCGTTTGAAGTATTGTATTGATTTGCATGAGTGCTGAATTATGACCAGTCAATTATCACGTTAACCAGAGCTGGTCTTCTTTGTTATTTAATTCAAGAAGTAAATGTTTAGTCACAGATCAACTAAATGTTTTATACAGTCCCAAAACTTTTAGGTGAATGCAATTGCTCTGAAGGAGACACGTCTTGTAAAGCGATTGTCCATGCACAGTTTTCAAAACAGTTCATTGTTGAAAACTATACCACTGAAAAAAGGCGATTTTTTTTAAGTTTGGGGAAAAATGCTCATCATTTCTGAAATAGCATCCAGGTTTTTTCCACCCTTAAAAAAAAGAAGGATAACTCTTCCGTTCTGATCTTTTAATTAAATTTTTTTTAAATGTATCTGATATTTTCCATTTATATATAGGCCGACATGTATATATTTTTTTCAATTTGTTTATTTCACTTTGCTAACATATTAAGATACATTCTAATTGTAGAATGTTATCCGTCCGCTTTCAAGAAATGATTTTTTTCCAATTATTTACGCTTATTTTTTATTGAAAATGAAAAATAAATCTAAGACTTATTTCTTGTCATTTTTGTTTTGTATACTCTTTATTTTAGTAAACTCGATTTCTTGCGTATAATATTAAGCTTTTGAAAAAAAAAGATTTAGATAAGAAAAAAATTTCTTGTGTGGTATCAATATGGATTTCAGAATCTGTGTCAGTATGACTCATCATAAAAGTTTCGACGAATGATTTATTGTAGCATGTTTCGAGAACTGTAAATTTATTTTTTTTTTTTTCAACAGTTTTTTGAAACAGTCTTGATTTCATTGTGAGTGGGGTGGGGGTGGGGGGCAATAATACTATCTACTTATAAGTCACCACGCAGTAGTTTAGTTCAAAGAGCAAGGGCAACCTAGAGCCTTTTTTGGCCCTGTGAATTTCTGAAAAATAGAAACTGCTCAGTTTTGGTTGAATGCTGTATTTATCACTTGGACCCTTGGTGATTATGTATGTATTGAACATGACGTAATTTTCTCTCTAGTCAATGCATTATAACGTCATGAAATGTGTCTTTTTTTTTACCATATCCTGTAATTTAAAAAAAAAATGGCCAAAAGTTTAAGTATTTTTTCAATATTTCATAGAGAGCACAACCTCTGATCCAAAATATCCAATTACATAATGAAAGATCTGTTTCTGAAGATAATAAAGCATGTTTTAATTTTTTAATCGAGGGCTGTGCTTATATTCTAATTCTTTGCTGAAGGTAGTCAAATACGCCTGTTTTCTGCAAAATTCAAAAACATTACATTTTCATAAAGCCTATTTTCCTATACCTGTATTCTCAAAAAGAAATTTTGTCATAGGAAATGAGAGCACTAAGTCTCTACTTTATTTTGATATATGAAATAGGACAGAGGGTGATAGTCAATTAATTGATATAAGGACAGGGCCATTTTATGCATAAAGTGAACCTAGTTCTTTGAATTTTGATTTCAATACTTATCGAATGAAAATTGAACACGGTTATGTTTATCTAGTAATCTTTTCCTCATTAAAACTCATCAATGTACAGCAGGCTTGCCAAGAAGGTATTCTTTTTTTACTTTGTTCAAAAAAAAAAGAAAAAGAAAAAAGAAAGAAAAAGAAAAAAAAAGAAAGAAAGACAGTAAGGGAAAAAAAAAAAAGAAAATAGAAAAAAAAACAGATAAATTTTTTCCCGTTATATTTATTACTTGTGAATACGTATTTCATTTATAAATGTAAATATTTACAAAGAATATAATATCGGTGGGCCTCGTTCGACATCAAAAACAATGTTTTAGACACGTCAATAAATAAGATGAAGTTACTAACATTACGTGTGACTATAAAAACTAACATTTCATGATGTTACCGATAAGAAAATTAATGTCAAACATTTAAAAATAAAATGAAAAAATTAAACAAATAGAAATGGTTCTACTATTCTTTTCTATCAGTGTCTAAATGTTAAGTACATAACTAAAATCCAAATCTTTTTTAAAAATATATGTGTTTAGTAACTTTCTATTGAAAAGTTATCTTGAATATCAGTGAATCCATTGTAGCTGTAAGAACTGCATTATTATTTTTTTTTCAAAAGTCTTTCCATAATTTGCCTTCACTGAGCCTGAAGGGGTAGGTGGGCGACAGCTGATTTACTTTAAAAGCATGCTCTGTTTCCCTTTTTTCATCTAGAAAGTTAGATCTTTGTACTCTTAAGCACTTGTAAACATGAAATGCTACACGAAAACATCCAAGAGCAGGACTGGAAGAAATGTCTTTCTTCTATTGTTGCATTTAGAGCATGCACTGCTTAAAATCACATGACACAACAACACTGAGAAGTGTTACAAATGTTCATGGCGATTCTTGTGACGTAAGAGCACTGTGACTAGAAACGGAACCGGAAGTCGAGGGTGACGCAAGCACGTTGGCGCTACTAGACACCTGATCGGCGTCATCTTCCTCAATGTCTATTCTGGGAGAGTCCGTGCTTCTATCACTCATACAATCACTATACGCAGAGTTTGTATCCTTTGTTTCACTGTCGAGTGATTTTTTTGACGATTTTTCTTTGTCTTCAACTGTATTTCCCAATTCGGCTGTTCTCTTTGCCGCTTCTTCCTCGCGTTTTACCTTTCTCCACTTTGCTCTCCTGTTTTTGAACCAGACCTGGAACAAAACATATTTACATCATTAAATGAGTTGTCTAATCAGATATGCAGCAAATTCTATGATCTGAGACCTTAATTTATTGTCTGAATACGATTACGTTGACGTTAGAGTTGCATTAGGAGACGGATAATAGTAATCTGATGGCCGATGTTAAAGCTTGGAATAAAGGGATTGTTGCTTATACAGCCAGCATAAAGAATGACTTGTGTCATCCAGTATCTGCAGATCGTGCAGATTTCATGAAATTTTCCTACTAAATGAATTAATATCTAGTGACGGGAAAAAGCATCGATCGTGGCGTTGGGGACGCTGGCTTTTTGTGTCTTTGCAGTTCTGAGTCTGATTTTTATCTTACTTTTTGGTATTGGCGATAAAAACAGGGTCCATGCGGGGATAGAACAGTGTCATGTAGCGTTCACGTGTTTTGTGCCTCTATTTGAAGTGATTTCACATCATTGACTCGCGCGTTGACAGGAGATGGAAGTTTTACACCAATAGTGCTAATATCACGCATGTACTCTCAACTTTATGTCTCGCATGGAAAGTGCGTTTCTGGTTTTGCTTTGAAAAATAATACTTGGATTAGAAGCCGAAGAATAGCTGTCGCTACAATCTCACTTTTGCGCCTTTGTATAAACAATGAAGTAATTTTATGGCTTATTATCTTTGATCTCGTTTCTGCTTCCATAAAATCTGTAGTTGGTATGCTTAAGTATGCGAAAATAGTCCCTCGCTGTCGTCATTTTCTAAGGCTACGAAATTACTCGCAGAAAGGATGGTCCGTAATTAAAATACAATTCCGTCATTGGTTCAGAATATAAACAACTTCCGGTAACGTTTGGACTTAAATACTCTTAATGTGTTAAGTTCCTTTTAAGAAAAAGATATTACATGTTTGCTTTCAATTTAACAACACATTAAAGCACGCACATCACAAATGCATGGTGATAATTTAAAAAAATAATCGCCTGACACATAAAATAGAGTTGGTGCACACTGATAAATAAATTTGCGTAAGATTTTGTAGGTTTCTGGGCATTTACGACCAATTTAGGAACGCGAGACCGGTCCGATAAGCGTTCGTTGAATTTCTCAGATATCATCTTTAATCTTTCTTCTCGCTTTGAACATATTATTAAATAAATAACCCAGAAATTCAATTCGGAAAATAGAAAAAGAAAAGATAAAGCCGAAGAAGAAAACACCAGAGTGATAAAATTCGTTATTGGAAAATGATGACTGACTGATTTACACTGTTATCTGATGAAGTCTCAAAGTTTTTCCTTTTGATCAGAGGGCGAAAAGTTGGGGTAGAAGTTATGGGATTTTTCTACTTCTCGATATCTATTTTGTGGGAAAGTGATAAAGGTGTACAGAGGCGACTAGTGTCTTATTGCCGATAATAGAAGAGGCAAGACCAATATCAAATTCACACTAAAAATGTTATCATATTTCATAAAGAAACTTTCTTTCTAGTAATAGTTTCAAATATATTTTTAAAATATGGTTCAAGGCATGAATTTCTTTCTTTCTTCTTTTTCTTTAATAATTTTCATATTACAAATTGCACCAATGTTATTCTAGATATTTTGCTTTCCATTATGTCGTTGTTTGGTGCATTGTATTGTTAAAAATTTCATCGTTTTTTAATTCCTGATACAACCCCGTTCAACAAATTTTCAAAATTTTTGTATTTACAATACGAAAAATTCCCTTTATTTAGAAAAGATAATACCAAACAGAATTAATTTTCAATTAAATTTTATTATATTCCTTAAATTAATTTCTAGCAATTATTACCTCAACTCGTTCTTCTTTAAGATCTATTTTAATAGCCAGTTCCTCCCTCAACAGAACATCCGGATAATGCGTTTTGTTGAATGTCTTCTCTAGTTCCTCCAACTGCTCTTCCGTGAATATCGTTCTATGACGTCGTTTCCGCTTTTGTCCAGCGCGTGCTAAGTCTGCTGCTGTCATCAACCCTGGAAAAGGACTGTAAGCTGCTGCTGTTGCAAAAGATTAAAAATAAAAGTAGAATTATTTTCCATCGGAAAAATATCTCAAATATTTTTTTACGGTCCGTTAAGATTTAAATCCTTTTAGGATCCATATGTTTACTCATTATATGTGCATTTATTATATATGATTGCTGTAAATACAGGGTATCCCAGAATATATGATACCATTTCAAGATTCTGTAAAACCTAATGTAATGAATATTGGATTGCAACAAATGCATTACAAACATTGTATATACTGTCCAATTTTATTCACATGATTTGACAGTCATTAAAAAGAAAACATCAAAATGAGTACACTTTGAAAAATGCTATGGTTTTTAAATGATGCCCTATAAATGAATGAAGTTCTATCTGTGAAATGATAATTGTACTTATTCATATATTTTTAGAGACATATATCAAAGAAATTAGCCAAAGGATGTGTCTGTGGAATGTATTTCAAATGGTATCATATATTTTGGGACACCCTGTGCTGATTGAAGCATCATTTCTTGTGACAAAACCTGTTGCTTTTTTCGCTTTTGTTCTGAGAATATTTTATATGTATTTCTCGTAAAATTGAAAGTTCATAGGGTGTAAAACAAAGTGTTGAGTTAAATCATGATTAAATAAAAGGTAAAATATTAAAATCAAAAGCTATAGGAAACAAATTCTTGCCAATTTTTCTAAAGAATTACTTTAATATATATTATTTAAATAAAATTCACAATATAATTCATTATCGGAAGTTAAGAATTTTTATGGACAATATAAGTTCTCTAATATTCTTTCTTTAAAATAGCTATAAAATGATTCTATCCGCGGTCTCTTTAATTAAATCATTAAAGTTGATTCAGTTCATATAATGTGCAACAGACGAGCCTAAATTTGATTCAATAAATAAACACGAGGGATAAATTTCTTTTGTTAATCCAAATTACATTTCCCTGATATTTTTTGCAAAAGCTTTAATCGTTGAAAATATGAAATATGACTGAACACTTTGATGTTTACAAAATCTTCATAACGGTTTATAGAGCTTCGTAGAGCCATAGTAGTTTAATGAGCCTTGGTAAGATATTACCACGGGAATAATCAGAACTCGTTTTCAATTGATGAAAGCTAACCATCATATTGCACTTCTTTTATTTCCTCCACAAAAACAAATCTATAATCTTTGGTTTATTTTAAATTTAAAAAATATACATATTTAAAAGCATTGGATTTTCATGACGAATGAATTATTGACCTCCAAGTGATAACATAATCTATTAATCATTTACTTAAAACGAGTTGATAACTTTTAAGTTAATTCAACTAAACATTTTAAATCTAAATAATTCTCCCAAGGGCCAATTACTAAAATATAAGGATGTAAGTATATCCGTTTTTAGATTTAAAAAAATGTATGATAATAAAACAGTTTACTTATATGACGAAGGAATCTTATTACACGTGTTCTTTGGTTGATTTTGGAAGTGAAAAGACTAGATATAAATGATTTTTAAAAAGAGTTCTGTGGTCTCATACGAAAAGTGAAGCTCTTGTCATGAGAAACTAAGGAGAAACGGGGTCCATTGAAGTCATTTTCTAGATTTTTATAAACTTTAAAATGCCATTTGGAAAACTGGATTTGAGATTATGTTGTTTATGTATATATATATAAATTTACTAAATTACCATTTGTTCCTATTTATTACTATAAATATCCTGAAGGAAATTCTGTCTTGGATTTGAATTTTGAATTTTTTGAGTATGCCTTTTTAATTTATAATTCTATTAAATATTCATATCTGTTTTGAATTTAAAAAGATGTTTTTAACAAGCAGCAGCTTCAGAGGAATGGATGGCATTGAAAACAAATCGATAGACGGATCTGGTTTGCCCAAGAACACAGCTTTACAGATTAAATTGCAGAATACTTGGCTGGGGTCATACGAACCTACTGATAATATCATGTTATATAATGACATTACCGATTTTAATTTTTCATTATTCGGGATTAGTTGCGACGGGTGTCCCATTTCACGGGAGTAAACTATATGCATATGAAACAATTTGTTTAATTTATTTTCAAAGTTTACGAGTTAAATCATTATGAATACACATGTCTGCATGCTATTGGTTCCAGTTCGGTAGAATTACCCCATAAATCATAATCTCCAAACCCGGCAACCCTCCTTTGTAATTTATATATCAACCTTTCATCTACCATTAGGATTGAGTACGATGAAACACGGCTTGCAATTATGTAAATCAGTTTTAGCAATACATAAAGATGAAATTGTAATACTCTTGTACTTAAAAGACATAAATCGGGACTTGAGGAAAATCGTCCGCAAAGACAGAATACCTCGGCTATTGTCACTCCTTGTTTGCGCCCTTTCTATCTATAATATCGCAACTCAATCCTCTTGAAATACGAGCGGCCTTCGACGAATTACAAGGAATATAGCCATTTTTGAATTAATATCAAGATGAGTTCATTGTGAGAGGAATGAAGTCGTTGTGTGAAACGACTCCTGTGTAGAAAATGAAGGTCACGTGACCAATCTATGCCCTCTCTAACGGCAATTTTTAGAAATACTACTGAATAAAGTTCATAGAAAGCATTCAATAAATAAAAAGCAATTTTCTTATATCGCTTCAGATTTATTTTTGTTCTTTTAAAATAAAAATGGCAAAATGAAAAATTATTTCTTTTATGTTGCAAAATCTGTCTAAATTATCACAGTTCCACTAATTCTTTAGTATGAAAAAAATTTTGCTATGTCCTTTCTCTGTCGGCGTTTTTTCTAAATCCGTCAAATTGAATACATTTTGCATTTTAAATCTTTTTCTTTAATTTAGAATACCTGATATAATCTGACTTATTCAGTCTAATACATATACTATTAGGAGTGTGGTTCCAAGTATGAATAACTTAAATCCACCAGAAAATTAACACTGTGCCTTAAATATTTGTAAAAATTATTATTCAACTTTATTTCTAAAATGGATCAGCCTTCTTTATCGGTATTTCCACCCAGACCCGATTAATGAACGTCAATAAGATTATGATCTAGGTACCGTTTAGCTGAAACAACAATTTATATTTCTGTGTAACACCCCTTAGTCCTTACAAAGCTTTTGTTCAGAATCAGAGGGAATATTTGTCTTCTTATTTCGCATTCATCCCTTAATTCCATAAAATATTCTGATTCTGAAAAAGTCACCTCTCGACTAATCCAGTTTATGTAGTAATTATTGAATGTGTGTTTTCATATGGTTTTCCCGTATATTACTCAACACGATAATCCTAAAATTAACACAACAGCAAAATAACAACTCTGTGGGGTGTCCACGCTTCTGCACGGCAAACACTCCCGTCGTGCGGGTGCTTTTGAATTTTTGAGTACTATTAACCAAAAAAAAAAAAAAAACTCATACTTTTTAACATCGAAACTTTTGTGTTTTCATTCGCAGAATTAGAAAGCAGACTTTTCTTTAGAGATTAATTCTTATTTTTGGAAAACAAAGATAAATTTAAACTTAAGAAAAAATATACTAATTTTGCTATATTCATGTTAACAAAACAGATGACACCGCTACATTGATTTTATACAGGTGTCAAGCAGGAAAACCTTTTAAATGGGTTATTTTCTTATTCATGACAAGCCGCTGAACATTAAAAATAAAATGCAAAATAGTGATTTGAAAAATTACGCAAACATGCAAATGAGGTCTTTTCATATTTTCGACATCCTTGCTTTTCTGAATTTCTGTATAGATTTGTGCTGTAGTTAACTTTATAGAAGTTATCATTGTCAGGGATCTCTGAGTCGGGCTGGAGATAAGTGCATTATATATTTTATGAGCTTAAATCATTATCCATTTAGGGACCATTACACAAAGTCATTGATCTCTGCCGCTCAGATTGTCTGTATAGAGATAATTCGCGCCAATCTTGTTAAAGCTAATACCTAAAAACAACCGAACTAAACCGGGGAGTATTAATTGATTTAGTAAACAAAAAAGAAGCTGAGCGTTGTTTCTTTTACAGATATTTACTTTTTTCTTAACAAAATCTGTAGAAAATACACTTTAATCTGTGATAAACCCATTAAGGCCAGAGTAACCTTCGTCCTGAACAATAAAAGTGTGATGTTAAAAGATAGATCACAGGAGCCGATAGTACGACATCTATTTGCTTTAAGTCAATCTCATTTATTCGGACCATTTTATGAAATATATCTTTAATAGGATCATCAAAGTAAGAACGTCAATATTAATTACACAATACCTGGCAAATTAAGTCCCTGGTGCATTAATTTCAGCTAGCTGGCAATCTGTTTATTTCCATTAAAAAATTGTAAAAGTAATCAAATTTTTATATTGTTTTCTTTTAATATCAATCATATAGAAATTGCATGTTCGGTGGATTGATGGAAAGAAGAATTTTATAAGATTTCATCAAAATTTCATAACTCTGTAAATCAATCCGATGTTAATTAATAGTATTAATTTTATAGAAAAATAGGTGTTTCATTTCAATCCGTAAGAACATCTTGGAGAATTATACGCGCCAGAAGATTACGATTAAATTTTAATATTTCAAAAGTCCATTAACTACTATATAAATACTCGGATGAGCATCTGTGCCTGTAGAGACTGTTTGTCTTATTTAACATACAAACACCGTCAACAACGAGAGTTTTAAATTCGATTAAAGCTATCATATAATTAGAGATGGGCAGGACAATACGCATATTCCGCGTATTTGGTGTTTCGATTATTGAATGTGACACCCACTTAAAGCCCTAGTGCTTTCCATGTAAGGGAGATGTCGCGAGGTGGCTACTTTGTGTCCATCCCTGCCAAACTGATGTCCGAAATCAACTGTTAGCCTTTACAATTGTTAATTGAAAATGGAGTGACCATAATTTGTCCCATAACAGGTACGAGTCAGAACTTATCAGATTTAGTCAAATAAAGTAAATATTAACCACTTAAACTCAAATTTGCGTGAATTAAGGAGGCATCCTTTTCATTTGAATAATCTCAAGACTTTTCAAGCCTGTTAGCTTACTCGTTACCACATCCTTAACACCCTAACCCGGGATGAGAAGTTACTATTTTAGAAAGGGTACGACAAAAACTAACGATTCCCTTGTCATCCTCAACTTTTCACTCATAAACAGTATTGAAGTATTGAATAAAAGTATGTCGTAGCCTTATTTTTGATAAAATCTGCAAATCTCTCTCTCTCTCTCTCATCATGTACACAAATTTTCGTATTTATAAGTAGAATGAATCGAAGCAGATTTTTTTTTTTTAAATTTGGATACATTGATACTTTACAAATGGAAGTCGATTGTAACTATTTTATTTTATTTTATTACAAGTACATGTTCTTTTGCACATTTTTTGACTGCAGTTGTTTCGAAATAGTGTTATTTACAAATATATATATAATTAATTAATAAATATTACTATCATTCCTCTTAATAACATGATGATTTTTTTTTTTATTTCATACCAACTTTTTTTGTTCACATTTTTAAATGAATAATTTAGTTGAAGACTAAATATTTGGGAATATGATATATTGTTATCTTTATTTTATTTTTCACTTTTATATACTTTCCGTGGATGAACCATAAATATTTTTGAGATTAAATGGTTTTTATCTTAAATAATTCATAGAGTTTTCCTTGACAAAAAATGCAAGGAACTCTGCCCCCAAAATTTTTAATGTTGCCTTTCTTATTATAATTTTGGAATGCAGAAAATGTCTCCAACTAACCTTTTACAAAGAAAGAATATAAATATGAAAACATGCCTTTATTCTTAATACCAGTATGGTTGGATATTTTGAAAAATTTCATGAATATTTACATATTACTTTTTCATTATGTGTTCATATAACTGATGAAAAGATGTTCTTCAAATTTTTGGTATTAGATATTTTTTTTTATAAATAAGACTAAAAATAAAATTTAGTTATTTATGGAAAACAAAAATAGTTAAGCAAGAATCGGTACATTGTACTGACAATTTTAAATATTAGTTTATCTAAATAAAATCATTTTGTTTATAATTTTTATAATATAGACTTACCAAAGAGGTCCTGTGGTGTGTGCGGAAGCCCCGGGTATGGGAAGTAGGGTGAGGGTCTGTGGGTGAGGTAAGGTCTTGGAGCCAGGATATTGTCGATTGTGAATAGTGGGGGACTGGTACTAGCGGCCGCTAACATGCTGTTATGGTATGATTTGAGCTGCTCCGAGGAGTAATAATATGGAAGGTGGTGCATTTTCACAGATCACAGCAAAAGTCTTGGAATGTACCGTCAATTTAAAACACTGTTGGTCGTAAAAATACCAAAACAGGAACAAAGCAATCACAACGTTAGAAACATCTTCTATTCAGCGAAATAAACCAACAGTCCGTAGTATCAGAAGTCCTTTTATTTCCTGTACACTTACGTTGTTTTATCAGTATGAAAAAAGATATATAGATATATAGTAAATAAAGTCCTGTGGTTTTGCAACGATGCGCGATACGTTCAAGTGTCAACTGTAAACTCAAGTGTTTGTCAAAAAGTTAGGATCCTTGGTAGCATCAAAGTCAGAATGATACCCTGTCGTATTGTTGTTCAAGGATAAAGTATCTATATTTTCAAAAACTTTAACTTTTATTTTCTTTATTGTCATAGGTAATCGGTAATTCGAGTCCAAATCTCCTATTGCTTTTGTTCCCTGACCTTGATTGACAGCTCTGCGAACCAATCATAAACCAACGACATCATCTTCACGCCATGTTATTTTTACGCCCCTCTGATTATCGACAAAAATTAAAGTGTATGCTTTCATATGAACATTTAAGCTTAAGGCGTTTACAAATTTTTAACACTTTGCACTGGTAGATTCCGTTCGTTTTATGAGCTCTACCTAGAGGTTTCTGGGTTTGATGCTTACGTCAGAGACGCACAGTTACAGGAAGCTGTGGTAGATGTCAAGTGAAACCATAGAAAAATTCAGAACATGAATATTATAATGAATTTTTTTTTTTTTTTTTACTAAGATTGAAGTTGTATTCTTATCCATTTATTTCGTCCATAGAGTTTTCGACAGGTGGGTAAAAAACATAGCTTTCTTTCATAAACATCTGCATTTGGCATTTTGTAGATTTTTATCAGTTAAAATGGGTGATGAAAACAACCCTCCTATATTTACATATAGAGAGATCATACATAATACTGATGACTGCACATTCTGTATTTAATTTTGATTCTTTGCTTATGTATTTCTTGCAATTTTTCTTTTATTATTGTGGTAGAAATATCCAAACTTCTGGATGGTGTATAGATGATGAGGATTCCAGGTTCGCAAAGAACCAGATTAAAAAAAAAACGCAGGCGAGCTAATTTATATTTAATCGCCCATCACATTTATGTGTTCCAGTGAATTAGCTTTCTTTTCACATTTCTCTCCAAATTATATTTTATAGTAAATAATTTTTAGGAAGTAAATGCGCCGCCTTTGTCGAGTTATCTCTTGACATCACGCTCGAACCATTTTCATCGTAATTATAGATTAAATCACATCGCCAAAATCTGCCGAATTCTAAATTTTTTTTTTATTTTTTCCACTGTCACCACAGCCGATGATGCTGATTTTCTTTTTTATGGCAGAGATCGAAAAAGATCAAACAATGTCAATTTGCTGTGAAGGTACATTCAAATGCTGTCAATTAAAAATATTTTTAATTCTGACCGTTTGGATATCTGAGGATGATGTATTATGTCGTTGAAAACAAATACAATCATAAATATACAATCTGCATACTTAAAAATTTTCCAGATAAAAATGCAAGTGAACTCTCTTTCTCTAAAAAAAAAAAAAAAAAAAAAAAAAAAAAAAAAAAAAAAAAAAAAAAAACATTTAATTGTTATTTTCTATGATATTTATTGCAGACATTGGGCATCTTGTTTTACTGACTCCTAAGCGGGAATTGGCAAGTACCTTTTTGATCAGTCTGCCGAAATTTTGTGAAATATGCCCCGTTAAAAAGGTTTGAAGTTGTATTATCAAACTTTTATCAAAAATTAAACTAAACATATTTTTTTTCAATTTGGACCAGTGAGTGGAACTCTTAAATCGATTAAAAAATAATGGACACAGAGTTGATGTATGTACATCAATCATGGCTCATTTCATGAAACAAAAGATTTAAACTATAAATTGTTTAAAATTAGAATATTAGGTCTTTTATGCAATGCAAATGTTTCAATTAAAGCATGTAAATCCCTAAAAATTCCTTTCTTAGAGAAAAAACTGTATTTTCTTCTTTTTTTTTTCAGAACACACTCACAGGAGAAAAATGTCTTAATCATAGACCCACTTTGTATTACAATCATAATTTTGATAACAATCAAACCCAAAGGGCGAAAATAAGTCATCAAAAATTGTCATATCTGTTTCTAAAACAATATTGTCCCTTCACTAATATTCTCCGCCTGAGAGCAGTGATGCAGTCCAGTTCACGATGATAATATCAATAACCTGAGTATTGTACAAGACACGACATGAGAAACTCGTGTACCTCTGGTGTCAAGACAATCAGACAGGTATATTATCTCTCTCTGCGAAAACAAATTGGTGAAACAAATTTTGAATGATAATCTTGATTTTTTATCTTTACCCCGCGGATAGAGTTGAAGTTTTGCAGTTACCAGCATATTGTACATTTTATATAGTATTCTATTTCGCGTGTCATTTACTAGGAATGTCAATTATGCATCTGCATTATAAACAATATTTGTAAGAAATATGTATAACAATTCTCGACTTACATTAAATTTTATTATTAGTTTTAATTATGTATCGAGTTAAATAAAATTTCAATCATATCTCATATAATCTTATTCATCCTATTTTAAAAATCATATGTTTAAAATAGTTTGTAAATTTCAAGAAACTTATATTGTTTATATATACCAGATTTGCATTAAATAGTATCATAAAAAAAATAAATAACACCTTAACACTGACATATTTTATAGAGGGTTTTTTTCTTGACAAAATAAAACTTTTGTGTAATATCAAACTTGATTTGGCATGGGCTATATCTCAACAACACTTGTTTACTAAATTTACGGGTCATAAAAGGCGGATTTACAAGTAAATTTCACATCTTATCGATTTCACAACCTCTTAATATCAGTAATTTTACCAAAACAAACAGTGATGAACCGTTTCAATTCGGTAGTTAATTGCTTATTTCACACATACAAGAGTCAACAAAGGATTATTTAGATTCTTCAGGTGTCATTCTGTAGAAATTGAACATCGCCTCGTTTTCGAAACCCCTCTTCCGGTCGCCATGACAATGTGCCGTAATTACAAGACGAGAGCACACTTCATCACGCATGTGTGAAAGGATTACCACAACTTTAGTTTGAGAGAGGTGATTTCTTTAAATGGAATCACTAACAGGGTTGCGCAAGATGTTTGTTTTTGTATAGTATCCCTTTCACAGACTTCGCAAAACTAATGGACACCAAAGTCAACATAAACTTTTCTAGACTAAATCATGTCTTTCCAATAGAAAGTGTTTATTTAAGGATTTTGGTCTCATTTATTTACAATAAAGACTCAAAGCCGGCCATAAAGAAGAGGTTTACTCAAAGAATAACCGATAATCCGCTATTTTCAAAAGAATTTAGGGTACCATGTGAATAAATTATTTTCTATCCATTATATTGACTAAAATGTTTGCTCTAAGCACTGGATTTTCAGCCAATGTGGCCAAACAAATAATTCAGCACAGGTTGTGTGTGAATAGAGAAACAATCATCCTTACTAAGTGAGAGGTCGCACTTTGAAAACATGTTTGTTTTCCTTAAATGCTTTGAAAAATAAAGAAATTGGGATGTAAAAAGTCAAGACAGTTCTTTTGTCAATGTTCCAATGTTCTGATTTGTCGAGTACACATTAATTCTCCTGCAACACGGGAGAAAGAATACGATATGTACAGCATTGCTCTTGATTAAATTAAAAGCATTATTACTTTTTGTATTTAACAATTACAAGTCATGAACAAGCAAAGCACATTAATTCATCTACAACGAGACTGTTCACTGTATATAGTATTGCTGAACGTACAAGGGATTAAATTGCTTATCAATTTCTTAAGTGCATTAATCTTTCTCTGATTTAATTTTGTTGAACTTAGGTTATCATGAGTTGTACTTTCTTAAATGTTTTTGGTATGTAATACAGTATCAAACTTTCACTTAATTTTTTTATTGTCTGACCAATTGCAAAGGAAAAATAAAATAAAAAGTCCCTAAAATATTGCTTTCTGTAAATGCTAAATTACATCCTCTCTTAATTTGTGCGTAATTTTAATGAATAACAAAATGACAAGGTCAGGCTACTTCTACACACCCTCAATGCACTCTTCTGTTCATTCATAAAATTTCACCCGAAGTTAAATTCATACATTACACTAATGGATCGTTTATACATTATACCGTAAAATGCAATCTTTGTACTTCACTTATTGCAATAATCAATTGGAATTCTAGCACTCATTTAATACCAGCTTTATAATATAGGGAGAATTAACGTTCATTTGTGTCCATATAGGAATCCCACTTAAAAGATTAAAGGGTATACATGTATCATAATATGTATCAGTATCAATGTGCATATCAATGAGTGAGATACATGTGGACACACACAATGAAATATCTTTTTGTCCCACTTAAACTGTGCGCTAAAGCATTTTTATCAGGTTTTCTTCAATCTGGCCATTTCTCAATTTTTGCTCTGATGAGATTGGATATGAATATCTGCAATTATACGGAACTCTGTTGCATATGATGTAAATTTACATTTGCTTCTTTTTCAATTTTAATCTGATAATTCTAATCTAAAATCTAACTTATTTAGATATTTCTTTAATTTCTAGTAAAATTTAACGTTAGATATTAAAATGATGAATGGGACAAAAGTCCAAGAATTTTAAGTTCTGTTACATGCAGTTCAAATTCTGAAGAAATAAATTCATTAATTCTTAATGACATCTAATGATCGTGAGGTTTTTGAAATCATAATTTCTAAATGATACATCATACGTTATTGTCAATAATTTTTTGAAACTCTGAGCAAACTTAGATTCGATTAAATAAAACGCATTGACACTTGCAGCATCCGTTAACATTACATAGAAAGTTTTCTGTCATTTGATTGTGGCAGTGAATCACCAAATATCACCCCATGGGCTGCAATTGTAGCGTAAGTCATAATACTGGCAGTGGTTAATTGGTATCGTTTGCGTAATGGAAAAAGGTTACCTTGCAACTCCTGGTATATGTGAAAACGTTTTTGGAGTGAAATAGACACGATTTTGACAAAGCATGAAATAATCGTCTTGATATAACTTTTTCAACCAGTACACATCTGCCTTTAAGACAATTTCATTGCGGTACACCAACATTTTCATTGCGGTACACCATCAATTATACTATATACTTTTCACTAAAGCTACCTCTTCTGTAAACTCATCTTAAAGGTTTCGGCTTACTCAAGAAAAGAACGACTTAATCATTTTCAATATTGTAAGAAAATCGAC